CGCGACACACAGTAGGGCAGCGAAAGCAAGTGGGCCCACGGGCCAGGAGCGTTAAGCTCTGATAACATGTTAAAGTTATAGAGTGTAGTAGGCTTAGAAGCCATAGTTTAGGTGCCTTAGTAGCTTAGGTTTTAGGGTGTAAGGTGAATGTCGAGAAAGTTGAGAATGAGAATGTGATTCACTAGCAAGAGTTGGGATACAAGTACAACATCCTAAATTGGGTTGTACTCATTACAGAGTACCCCACTGCAGGCTAGACAGCAAATACATTCTGACAACTATAATATATTTAATCATCAAATTACAGCTGACTTTTTTTTTATATGAATGAGACAAGCCCACTTAACCATCCATAGCTTAAAAATTAAAGCTAAAAAGACAATAGATGAAAGTTTATGAGAGTAACAGTGCCGAGTTCCGGGGTCTAACCCCACGTCGACCAAAGCCTCCATAATCATTTTTTCTCGCGCGCCCCAGGTGTTCTTCTAATTTTATGGATTTCCGAGCATTCGGAAATATTATTTTCCACAGTCATACACGGGCTGAGTGGCCTATAAGCATATTGAAAAAAAATATTGGATATCACGTCAGAAAGGGCGCAAATTTTTATTGCGTAAGCTCTTGATATTTTGACCCAAAACTATAACATAGTGACAAAATTGATGCCACCTAGTAGATGTGTAAGTTCCAGTTGCTTGCCACTACCAATTCCATGTTGTGAATATAAACACATACTATAACTACTACACGTACACCCATCACTTGCAATGAAGCGCATACCGAAGTAATTATGACCACAATACAAGCACATGGGCGAATGCTGCAAATTTATGGAGACCCATAAAGGTAGCAGATTGTGATGGTTTGGAAACCAATGAAATTTTGAATTTACTACATTTCCTACTTCAATTCCAGCAACCAGTTAGATGGCTAGGTGACGCTCAAAGTTGACCCTTTTCTTACAAGGCACAGCAGGGTTTATAGTGTGTAATCAGGGCTACGGTGTTTCGTACGCGGTTGAACGTTGTTGATGGTGGTTGCAAACAGTGAGCGCCGCAAGTGGCTGTTTCCGCGTGAAGAAGGAAGCCTGCAATTGGTCAGGAACACACACGTCGATCGCCAACGCACGGGGTGGGATTGGATGGTTTAGTGTGATGAAGGCTGGACATACCAAGCCACCCAATGGAATTTTGTCGATGTGTGGGGATATCTCGAAGGACACAAGATGGAGTCCAAATGTGTGACATTCGCTTGTTTCTGCGGTGTGCGGAGGGGTACTTACGTAAGAGGGAGGCGGTTCTCCATATTTGTGTATGACATCTGAAGACCTGTCTGGATTCTGTGAGGTTGACGCAGCTGGGATCAACAGTTTCGACCTTGGATACAAAGTGACGGTGAACCCATTGCCCCTCAAATCATTTGCATTAGGTTGACGATGGCCAGCGCAGACTGTTTTGCTCGTGTTCCAACCAGACCAAGCGTTCGCATCCAAACCAGTTAATACACATTTCTTGCGTTAGTGTTTTACATAGTCTATTTTTCTGGTTTTATGAAAACCGGCGTCAAAGTCTTTCAATCTTCACGGAAACATTCCAAGTAGCAACTACTATGTTTTTTACCAAATATGAATATAATATTTATGTTATGATGACAGTTCTGGAATAAATCCAATGTTTTAATTATCAAAGCAAAGATTCCATCCTATGATATGATTGGATACTCATTTCTAACTCCGAAAGAAAACAATATTGGTAATTTATAAAACTTTCATACTCTAAATTCGATATATCGTCATCCTATTTAAGCATCAATACACCATTTTAGACTTGTGGTAATGATTTTTAAATAGTTATTGACATCACTCTCATCATCTGCTGGGTTGAAAATGATTAGTATCAGTATTTGGAACGATTTCTTCATCGGTAAAAATAACAGAACAAAATCATCAACGAAGATCCGGTGAAGTTCTGTAAAGATGGTCTGTATTTGTTTCAAGCCAAGGCCGTCTGGCCGTCTGGGTATCGAACCCCCAGCCTGAGTGACAACGAGTCGAAGTGAGACCCGAACCTACAGCCCGCAAATGAGTTCTCCTCTGTGCTGTTCTGCTCTCTTTCCGCACTCGATTTTCTCTGTCCAGGACAAAAATAGGTTGTGGGGTGAATGCAATGCATTGTCCCCAAGACCCTGCCGCCACCACCACAAGTGGTTCTGGCCAGCAGCAAATATTGGGGCGGAAAAAATCCAGGCGGCGGAAGGACCAGCTTCCGCGTGATGGGAGGGCACTTGCACAGTTGAAGGCAGCCTCGTCTTGCCTGCTGTGGTTCCAGGCCGGTGGCCAGAACCGCATCTGCGTGACGTGGCAACATCACAGGATGGCAGCAGAGGGGGGACGAAGGAGAGTTTTGATCACGTCAGATATCATAATATCGTTGGAGTTAAACATAGTACGGTAGTAGTCACCACTTTCTGGAGTAATTTAATCAGCTTCCTGGGCACTTGTCGTCTCAATTCGGAGATAGATATAAACCCCACAAAACAGAAAATGTGATGAAGACAAATATCAAACTCAGGAGAAGAGATTACGTACCCAAAACGCTGTTACAGCGAAATAATCGCATCAGAACCAGCAGTTCTGGAAAGTTACAGCTACATGCATTCAAAGATAGTTAATTGATTATAAGTTATATATATAATATGATTCCTTCATCATTTTTTTCAGCGTTATTGAACATTTTGATATGATTTCTGGCCTATTCCATCTGCAATAAAATAAAAATACAATATGTGAATTTTTTATTGCATGTAATAGCAGTTAAATGTTCTAATGTATCTTTCCTAATATGTGAAGTTCTTTTATACAATATACGAGTATGACAATATGATATTTAATTATGATACACTTGTCTATGCAAATCTTCTTCCTATTCTTCTATGTGGTATCTTTTAAGCTGCCATTCATTCAAATGTATCCTGTATTATGATTGTTACAACGTTTCAAGTGAAGGATTATACAATGCTCATTTTTTTGGTCAATATTTGGATTCATATTCGGGAATGACTCAACTTTATTTAAAGGTGGCTCTTAACAGAGGTTTGGGAAGGGGCAAAAACTCGGAGTTCTCTGCTTTCTTGGTTGGGTCATTGATAGCCGCGATTGGGGTAGATTTGCAGACGGCACAGGCCCGAGTGATCCTTTTGCGAGCGGCATGCACGCTTGTTGAGTCTGAGATGGATTGCACGGATCAAAAGGGTGAAGAGTAGAAGTTTGTGGGGGGGAGTAACATAGGTGGACAGTCCATACTTGGTGGACGTATGGCTGTAGATGATTTCAGCAGCAGAAGTTTGTTTGGGTGTTTGGGTTTGGTCCTTTTAGGTTACAGATGGTAAAAAATTTCTAGGTGGAGTTTTACTGTATTCAATGTGAGGGAAATGGATTTTTTGTAGTTACAAAAATATGAGAGGTTGCATTATGATCACTGCTTCAAAGTCGAAACTGCGACTGCAAAAGCTTCGAATAGAATCCATATGACGCAAATTCCCTTAGGGACAGAACGAGCCACCCTCTGTGTTCTCTGTTGCATCCACCGTCTGTCGTTTTCAGCGGCTGCTCCTCCTGACGTTGCACAGTCCAACTTTCAGAATCGCTGCTCCTCTGCCCTCAGATGACCCACAACTCAGCTGCACTAACCTCAACCACCCATCCCATCCCATCTATTGACATGCTCTACTTTCTTGTAGTCCGTCTTCCTAAGCCAGCAACTTTCGTTTGCAAGTGAGTTATTCTGGGACCCACTCCGCACCACCAGGGACTGCGTGCCAACGTTCTGAAATTTTCGGCAGGGACTGCGTGTCAACGTTCCGAAATTTTCGGCGATGTCACTTAACCTTAGAGTATAAGCCGTGACGGCTTCGACTGCAAGTTTGACCAACAGTGTCTTCAGTCGTCCCTGATGGGACGAAGAGCTATACCTAAGTTAGGTCGTTTTCAGGCGGATGCGTGTCAGAGCTATACCTAAGTATAGTTACTTAGCGCCGTCCAGACATTTTAATGATTGATACTTTTCACATTTTCAACGCCGAGTTGCTGCTTTTGCAACCGTTCCGACAAACCCGCCGGTAATACTTTTCCTTAGTGCTAGAAACCATGTTTTGTGATTCTTTCCTGCATGCTTGCGGTGCGCATCCGATGCGTCATCGTCACATGGCAGCGGACCTCTTTGCCCACCATCACACGCCCTAAATTCACAGATTCGAACCGTCTGGACATAACTAGGAGAAAAAAAAGTTATTACAAATGGGTCCAATGAGTGCGGCGGTGCCACTTCGTTAGTCGTTCCGCGGAGAGGCGCACATGGACTAGGGAAGGAAAACGGATTTCTGTCCATTATAATCGTCAGTAACAGCGTCGTTGCAGCCGAGCGGGTAGTAGTGTCATGATGGTGGAGGGCCGTCATGGTGGTAACGCGGGACTGGACGGCTGTCACGATGACGCACAGGATGGTCATGATGGCTCACAGGATGGTCATGATGGCTCACAGGATGGTCATGATGACGCACAGAATCATGATACTACTCATGGCGGCGCTTATCTCGGTCATGAGGAATCCGGATACATGATCCATGGAGAACCGTTGCATCAGCACCGAGAGCAGCACAAGGCAGTTCATCTGGAGCATTTGAAGCATCAGAAACATCAGCAGCAGCAAGATGAGGAGCAACGGAAGCATCAGGAGCATCATGGAACGCATCACAGGGATGATCATGGTGTGCATCAGAAGTATCAGAAGCTGGAGGCTCAAGAAGCTCGGCTGCCGATGCCTCTGGCACTGCAGTTAGCACAAACACGGACCCGTCTGCCTGCCCCTGCTCCCTCCATAATCAATGCTGCTGCTACTAGTATCACTGCTACCACTACCACTACTACTGACACATTTGCACATGCTGCCGCCGCTCCTGAGATGTACCCCATTCAGACAGACAGCAGCAGCAACCGACAGGCAATGACCACCCCCGGAGGTCCTCCGAGCGGCTCCTCTGCTCTTGTAAGCCTCCCTCCTCCCCTCACGGGCCCTCCATCGGCATCCAATCCCTCTTCAACTGCCGCACAACTAGCAGCTGCCCCAGCAGCAGCAGGAGAAGCAACACCAACTGCAGAGCCAGCACCGCCAGCGTCAGCAGCAGCGCCAGCGCCAGCAACAGCAGCAGCAGGAGCAACAGCAACAGGAGCAGCAGCAGCAGCAGCAGCAGCAGCAGCAGGAGCAGCAGCAGCAACAGGAGCAGCAGGAGCAGGAGCAGGAGCAGCAGCAGCAGCAGCAACAGGAGGTGGGAGCGGCAGCGGTTCCATCACCATCCCGCACATCCCCGCGCCGTCCTTCTCCTCCTCTCTCCCACCCTCGCTCCTCACGGACCTGGAAGGCATCCCGCCCTGCTCCTGCTTCACCAACTCCGTCTCCGCGCAGTTCAACCCGCACGTGCACGCCATCCGCTACACGGGCGTGCGCAGCCGCGGCAGCAACCGTTGGATCGCGGAGATCAAGGACAACCAGCGCGGCGTGCGCAAGTGGCTGGGAACCTTCTCCTGCCCCGTGCAGGCCGCGCACGCCTTCGACGCCGCCGCCAGGGCCGTGCGGGGACCCAACGCGCGGACGAACTTCCGCGTGGGGGAAACCGCGGGCGTGCCTGGAACCGGGGGGAGCAGGTCGAGGCGGTGGAAGAAAGTCGCTGCTGACAGTAAGGCCGCTGCTCTGGCTGCTGCGGCTGCTCTGGAGGCAGAGGCTCAGAAGGGGGGGTCGGAGGGTGGTGGGGTGGGCGTGGGAGAGGAGAGTGCTGCGGTGTTTGCTGCTGCAAGTCCTGGCGTTGCTGCTGGTGCCTGGTCTCTGGGTGCTGCAGGGGGGAATACGTCCTCAGGAATGGCATCCCAAGGCAACGCTGCCAATGCGTCCCATCATGGCATTGCCATTGCCGCATCACAAGACCATGCGTCAGAGTCTCCACCGGAGTTGCCCCGAGAGCGATGGGCGTTTGACTTGGAGGCCGTCCCATCCCGTGATGAGGGCGAAGAGGACGCAGCAGTGGCGGCGGCGGTGGGGGAAGGAGAAAGAGATTGCAGTATGGACAAAGGGCTTGGCACTTGTACTACTGCGCAGCAAACCCAAGTTCCACGCGCACGGGCTGTCAAGCACAGCGCCATCACAGCTCCCTTCCATCTACATCATGGCGCATCGCCTCACACCCAAGCATCACCTCTCTCCCACCCATCACCGCTACCCCACCCATCACCTCTCTCCCACCCATCACCGCTACCCCACCCATCACCTCTCTCCCACCCATCACCGCTACCCCACCCATCACCTCTCTCCCACCCATCACCGCTACCCCACCCATCACCTCTCTCCCACCCATCACCGCTACCCCACCCATCACCTCTCTCCCACCCATCACCGCTACCCCACCCATCACCTTTCTCCCACCCGTCACATCACTCCCATCCATCACCGCTACCCCACTCATCGTCTCACCAGCAACGTCTCAGCTTTGACATGTCCTTTAAGCAAGCCCGCATGGACCCCTCCACGCCTGGGCCTCATCCTGCTGCCCCTGCTGCTTCTCCTGTTGCTCCTGTTGCTCTTCCTCTTACTTCTCCTGCACCTGCTGCACCTGCTGCTGCTGTTTCTGCCGCTCCTCCTGCTGCTGCTGCTGCTGCGACGCTCCGGGGCGTTCTGTCCCACCAGGTGACTCTAGAACCACCTGAAAACGCCCCCCCCACCACGATTCGAGCGATTCTCGGCCACATGCTCTGTGCGCGGGGGTCTGGTGCGGTGGGTGCAGCAGGTACAGCAGATGGAGCAGGAGTTGCAGGGGGAGCAGGAAGAGCAGGAGCAGTAGGGGCAGCAGGAGCAGCAGGTGCACCAGCAGGAGCAGCTGTGGGAGCAGCAGCGGGAGCAGCAGCCGGAACAGCAGCGGGAGCGGCTGTGGTTGCAGCAGCAGGAGCAACAGCGGGAGCAACAGCGGGAGCAGCGTGGTCCTCTTATAGCCGTGGTGGGCACGAGCAGCGCGAGGGTGGGGCCGGCGTCCCTCACTACTCCCCTCACATCTTCCCTCACCAATCGCACCAACGCCAGGCCATCCTGCATGCACACCAGCAGGGTGCCGCCGCCAGCAACATCTCTCACGCCCTCCCCTCCCCACACAGCCTAAGCCTCAGCCTCCCCCCACCGCACGGCAGCACTTCCACGTGGCAGCAGACGCTTGCACGCTCGGAGCAGCAGCAGCAGCAGCAGCAGCAGCAGCAGCAGCAGCAGCAGCAGCAGCAGCAGCAGCAGCAGCAGCAGCAGCAGGAGCCCCATTCGAGCCAGCCCCAGGGCACAGGAGGCGGGGATTCAGCAGGTGGTGTGGCAGGCAGAGCGAGAGGCACGGCGCGGATAAGGCTGGCTTCAACAAGGGCAGCAACCTCCAAGGGCAGCAGTGGCGGTATGGTGCAACAGGGGGGCAGCGCGGCCAACACTGGCATGGCGCGGCCATCCAGCAAGGGCAGTGCTGGTGCCGCAGCTTCGGCAACCCCCAAGGGCAGCAGTGCTGGTGCCGTGGTGCTGGGGGCTGCACCTGCATCCGCTGCTGGGCACACCCTGGCAGAGACTCCTCCTGGCTGTCCTCCTCCTCCGCCTCCTCTTTCCCTGTCCTTGCCCCGTCCTCCTCCCTTTCCCCCGCCTCCTTCCTTGCCTCCTCCTCTTTTCTTGCCTTCTCCTGCTCCCTTCCCGCCCCCTTCCCTCTTGTCACCTCCTCCTGCCACGTCTTCTGTTCAGTGTGCGTCCCTTTGGGCTCCCTCACTGCCTGCCACTCGCGCCTCTCTCGCATGCCTTTCCACCTGTGCCCCGACTGCCACACCTCACTACGAAGTAGCCTCACCAGCAGCACCAGCAGCACCAGTAGCATCAGCTCCGGAGGCTGGGGTAGGGGAAAGGCTGCAGGTTGGGGATTTGGCGCTCGGCAGGCGTGGTTCGGATCCCTACTCTGTGCATGTAATGGGTTTCATTGTGTCCGCACCAGCTGAACGCGCAGCAGCAGAAGCCACCACAGCACCTGCAGCAGCACCAGCAGCAGCACCAGCAGCTGCGGCAGCTGCAGCAGCAACTGCTGCATCCTCAGCGACAGCAACAGCGACAGCCGCACCAGCAGTAACAAGAGGAGGGCGAGTGCCACAGGCAGGCGAGGCGGAGGTGGCGGTGGTGGGTGCGGTGGGCGCACTGGGAGCAGCGGGAGCAGCGGGGCTGCACTCACAGCTCTCTGCAGCAGCCGCAGCAGCAGCGGCCGCTGCAGGGCTGCGCTCGCATGAGCTCTTGCAGCTGTCTTCAATGTGGGGAGCCGATCGCCCTTCTGCAGAGAAGAACACGGGATGGCTGCACGCCTTGGCCTCCAGTAGTTGGATGGGAGGGGGTCAGGAGGCCGGCACGGCAGGGATGGGGGGAACTGGGGAGCGGGCGGGTGATAGGTCTGGGGGGTGTGATTCTTCTCCTGGGCGTGGCTTGGTGAGAAGAGAGTGTGGGGTGGAAGGAGGAGTGGCAGGTGTGATTTCTGGAGCGATTGGACTTGCTGGAGGGGTGGCTAGTCGGGGAGGGGGCATGGGGGCAGAGATGGTGGCTGCTGCTGCGCTGTCTGCTATTCTGCAGCAGGCCATGCAGGGGGGAAGAGGCGAAGGTGCTGCTGCTGGTGAGGCCTCTCTGCAGTGGCAAACGCACATGCAAGTCCAGCAGCAGGAGCAGCAGCAGCAGCAACAGCAATGGGAGCAGCAGCTTCAGGGGCGGCAGCGGAGACAGGAGCAGCGGAAACAGCAGCAGCAGCAACAGCAGTGGGATCAGCAACAGCAGCAGCAGCAGCAGCAGCAGCAGCAGCAGTGGGGGCAGCAACAACGGCAGCAGCAACAGCAGCAGCAGCAGCAGCAGCAGCAGCAGCAGCAGCAGCAGCAGCAGCAGCAGCAGCAGCAGCAGCAGCAGCAGCAGCAGCAGCAGCAGCAGCAGCAGCAGCAGCAGCAGCAGCAGCAGCAGCAGCAGCAGCAGCAGCAGCAGCAGCAGCAGCAGCAGCAGCAGCAGCAGCAGCAGCAGCAGCAGCAGCAGCAGCAGCAGCAGCAGCAGCAGCAGCAGCAGCAGCAGCAGCAGCAGCAGCAGCAGCAGCAGCAGCAGCAGCAGCAGCAGCAGCAGCAGCAGCAGCAGCAGCAGCAGCAGCAGCAGTGGGAGGAGCAGTTTCAGGGGCGGCAGCGGAGGCAGGAGCTGCGGAAACAGCAGCAGCAGCAACAACAACAACAAAAGCAACCACACATGACACAGCCAAAGCAAGAGCCAGTGGATGAGCATACAGAGCAGATCATGCAGCGGGCAGGACACGGGACCAGCACACACGCCAGAGACACCAGAGAGAGTGGTGCTTCAAGAGAAGCAGGGCGGACTCCTCATAAGCTGGCTCGTCATGAGCCAAGGTGTGGCCAAACTGGGCTCTCGCTTGCTACTCCAGCAGACCCACGCCTAGTACCACCACCTTCTGCTGCACTCCCTCCTGTTGCATTCACGTCCGCTGCTCTCCCCACGGCAGTTGAAGCAGCAGCAGCAGCGGCAGAGCAGCATGCAGCAGCGTCAGCAGGACTATGGAAAAGAGCATCTGTTGGGCCGGCCAGGGCAATGCATGAGCTTGTGGGTGCTGTGCCGGGGTTCCTCCCGTCTCCTGCCGCTGGCCGGCAAGCCGTCCCTGATATTCATTTGTCTCTGGCGCCTGGTGCAGGTGACAGCAGCAGAGCAGCTAATAGAGGGGATGTAGGTGCTCGATCTGGAGTCATCCCCGATAAAAGGAATGAAAATGTTGTGAGTGGTGCAGGAGAGACGCTAAGTGTCAGCCTGATGGTGCATGGGGCTAGGAAGAGGGGAAGGGCTGGGAAATTGCTGGCAGATGGGTCAAAGGAGACGTTTCCTCTTTTGCTGTCCTCGCCTTTAGGGCTGTTTGACAATAGTGCTGATGGTGGCACATGGCAAATGAATTGAGGTATTAAGCTTGTTGTACATACCTAATTCATATTCTTAATACGAGCGACTGTAAGTTTCGTGTACCGTATATATCGCGTCCGTAGTCTGCATAACAGCTGTCAAATGAAGACCTAGTTTGCACGATCAAGCTGTAAATAACACAATCAAATAGTGTCAAGTCAAGAGGTACGGCTTTTGTGCGTTGCAAAATGCTCGTCAGAGTCTGCATAAGATGTTTGAAGCAGTTTTTGGCTGAATGATCAGAGTGCAGAACTGTTCACACACACACACACCCGTTGAAGTACTGTACTCTATGCGAAGGGAAATGTCAGCGTCAGCGTGAAAAATGTCGCGACGTGCGATGAGTGCAACTGCTGCTGCTGACTCGTGCTCCCCCGACTTCCACCATTTATTGTGCCTTTTAGATAAAGAGATGCAGCAGTGATTCATGGCTTCGACATGTCATGGCACCTAGCCGACACTGACGCTGCAGCACCGTGTGAAGTAAACCCTAATATAAGGCCACTGCTCGCGTGTATTTAACCTAGCTTCAAGAAGCAACACTAAGCTATGCTCGACACGCTTAGCAGCAGCAAGGCTTACCCAAAGGCTTACAGAATGAGGTGACATTTGAGCCGTAAAAAAATTATCTCATCAGGCATCAGTAAGGCTACCTGTGGCTATCCACGCCGTAGCTCTTCGGGTTCCTTCCCTAAGGCTTTCACAATGCCGACTTTAAGATGTCGATGCTGCAGCGCAGTCCTAACCAAACCGTCTCCCGCGCTGCTATGCCGGCCGTGCAAGGTGCTAGGGTCGGGGGGGACCGTGCGTGTGCGACCGGGTGTCTGGCGGCTGGCGCGTTGGAGAGCGAACAAATGGGTGCAGATGGGTCGGATACGGCACGTGCAAGAGCTGGTGGAGGAGGTTCGCACGCGCGGACTGCTGCTCATCGTTGTTGCTGTCGTTCTCGCGTATGCCATGTCGCGTAAGAACATGATATCTTGTATGCCATGTCGCGTAGTAAGAACACTATCGCGTATGCCATGTCGCGTAAGAACACTATATCGCGTGTGCCCTATCGCATAAGATCATCATAGAGACCTATTGAGGACTGTTATGATTATTAACGACCCGATGGTAGTCATCTCTGGTGGTCGGAGTCGGAAACTGCTGTTGTTTGTCCCGGTGGTCGTTATCCCAGGTGGTCCCATGTCCTCCCAGCTGCCAGTCATCACGTTTGTTGCGCTCGCCTGTGTCACCTCCGCCCCTTTCATCCACGCTTTCCTCCTCCCGTTACATCTGATGCCGCGTCAGTAGCGAGCCCCTCGCTTCTCCTCAACCTGCCGGTGGCCCTTGGGATCCTTGAGTTGAGACCCCCCCTCTCTCCTCCATCCCTCTCCACACCTCTCCCTTTGTCACCTTACCTGTAAACCCGCGCCAGTGACAAGCCCCTCGCTGCTCCTCAACCTGCCAGTGGCCCTCGGGATCCTCGCCGCTGCTCGCTGGCTCATGCTTGAGGTGCAGGCGCGGGCCAATGCCAGCCTGCCACGTGTGCACTACGAGCAGGTGCACGCGCCCTTCCAGCCAATCACGACCGCCGACGCCCTCCCGCGGCCGTCAGAGCCGGCTGGGCTGACGCTGGTGGGATCGCCGCTGGTGGAAGCCTCCCTTGACGAGTTTGTGCGCTCCATTATACGGTGAGTGAGGTGCATACTCGTTACAAGAAGACTCTCACACACACAAACATACACACACACACCCTCTTCATCCTTCCTTTTCCCCACTCGCTCCCTCCCCCCCAACCCCAGGGACTTTGTGACGAATCAGTTCTATGCGTAGAACCCCTCCCTGACGCCGGACAGGGAGATGCCGGAGGAGCTGCGGAGGTTGTGGTGGCACCTAACGTGTTGCTCCCCTTCTTCCATCCTCTACCAACCCACCCCACCCCTGCCTCCCTCTTCCCCCCCATCTCCCCCACCCCAGGGACTTTGTGACGAACCAGTTCTATGCGTACCTGACGCCGGACAGGGAGATGCCGGAGGAGCTGCGCTGTGTGCTGCTGGCCGTGCTGGGGGAGGTGGCACGGCGGGCCAAGCGGGTCAACCTCGTTGCGCTGCTCACCAGGTGCTCTGCCTCTGCTTGCTCTGCTTCCTGCTTGCTTGTGTGCATGCATGCTATTACTAGACACACATATTTCTGCTGCGTGTGATGTGATGCATCCACCATTGTGCTGCTGCTGGTCATGCAAAGCTGTTCCACTCTACCGCACCTTGCACCCCTCACTCACCTTCCTGCTCTCTGCTTCCTGTCCTCCCTGCCAGGGACGTGGTGGGAGCGGTGGTGGGGGCAATGGAGCAGTACCAGCGTGCATGTGCGGACATGGGCGAGGGCGAGGGCGAGTGGAGGCGGGTGGCGGCAGGGGAGAGGGAGGAGCGCCTCAAGCACACCCTGGGGGCGTCGGGCGACCTGCACCCTGCATGCCTCTCTGTGGAGTGCGAATACAAGGTGGGTGGGAAGCACAAGGTGGGGTGAAAACCTGCACACAGCATGTCTCTCACTTTACTCCGATTAGTGTTGGTAGACCCCCATTCTCACCTGTGTGTGTGTATGTGTGCGTGTGTGTGTGTGTGCGCGCGTGTGCGTGTCTGTGCGTGCGTGTGTGCGTGTGTGCATGGGTGTCACATGTGTGTGCGTGTTTATGCATGTGCATGAATGTAAATTTGCATGTGCGAGTGCATGCATGCATGTGCATCTGTGCATGTCCGTGTGCATGCATGCATGCATCAGGTGGTGAGAAAGCTAGTGGCAGCACTGTTGGCGCTGGTGCTGCCAGCCAGCGACGCACAGAGCAACGTGGTGCGTTGCATGGCTCGAGAGCTCCTCTCCTGCTGCGTGCTGCTGCCCTCCCTCAAGCAGGCCAACCCGCGGTAGGTAGTGCTCTCAAGCATGCCAAGTAATGCGCCCTAGTAGCAGGCCAACCTCCAAGAACTCATACGAGAACGCCAGCAGCCCCAGTAAAGCCGTCCTTGAAACCTTTCTATGCTTCCAGCAGCACCGTGCTGCTCTAGATCTTCCACATCTGTAGCGACCTGACCTGTTGTGTGCTCAAGCATTTTCTGTCTGGCATCGTATGCTTGTGCTCCCTCATTTCTCCCGCTCTTTCTCGCCCCAATCTCTTCTCCCTTTCCCATCCTCCCCCCCTCCCCCGATCTCGCTATCTGCTGTCCTCCACACCACAGAGTGATCAACGATGCCATACTCGCCTTTCTGGACAAGCATCCCTCCTCTTCCTCCTCACAACCACCCTCTGCTCCTCCTTCAGCCCCTGCCGCCGCTGTCCCACCAACAGCCTCAGCAGCCACAAAAGCAGCGGCAGCAGCAACAGTAGCTGCCAGTGCAGCAGCAGCAGCAGCAGCGATGGAAGGAGGGGCAGGAGTGTCAGGTGGAGCGCGAACAGGTGTGGGCGGCAGAGGTGTAGGTTCGGCAGCATCGGCGCCGGTCCTGACTGCTTCGGTCTCCCCGCTGAGTGCTGCGGCCGCTTCCCTTCGACAGCAGCGGCAGCAACGGCAGGAACAGTGGCAACAGCAACAGCAGCAGCAGCATGGGCAATCACAGCAGGAATTTTCACCCCAGCACGGATCGTTGCAGGGCAAGGGCTCTCGGATGGGTGCCTCTTTAAGGAGGCGAGTCCCTCGCAGCCGCAGCAGGCGCATGCGGGCCACAGGGTCGCCCAGTGGAGGCTCATTCGGGGGAGGCGTATCTGGTCCAGGTGGGACGTACGGGGCAGGTGCATTCGGGGGAGGTGCATCTGGTGGTAGGGGCAGCAGCAGCAGCATGCGGCGGCGTGCTGTATTGGGGTTGGGGGGAGACAGTGCGGGGGACGATGACAGCCTGGCAGAGGGCACCAGTGACGGCGGTGGCGTGGTGGGCATGGGCTTCAGCACGGATGAGGAAGACGGCTCCCCTGATGTTGATAGCTCTTATCCTGCTCGTCACGGTGGCGGTGTTGCTGCTGCTGCTGCTGCTGCTGCTGGTGCTGCTGCTGCTGCGGGTGCTGGGCCTGGTGGCAGTCGGGGTGGTGGAGGAGTAAGAGAGAAGCGCAGACCTGGTGGAGGGTCGGGAGCGGCTGATTCGCCTCAGATTGCGCCTCCCCATGCCATGCCTCCCCAGGATAAGCCTCCCCCGGGCCGTTCCCCTGGGCTGCTGCAGCCTATGAGTGCATCTTCCTCAATGGCGTCCCTGGCCCCTCAGCTCATTGCCGCCACACCCCTTCCTCCGCACCCCTCTGGCCCCTCCGGTGGCTTTAATGGCTCTCCTGGGTTTGGGGGGTCGGGTGGGTCGACTGCTGGTGGTGGTTCGGGAAGCCAAGGCATGCTGAGCAGCAGCGGCGAGAAGCACGGCGGCTTTTCTTTGCGCTCCCACCAGCCCTCAAGCGATTCGGGCTATGCCCAGCCTGCTGCACCTGCTGCTGCTAGAGGCTTATCTCATCACATTCCGCCTCCTCCCCGTGATGCGTTTGGTCCGTTTGTCCATCCCAATGACGGGGCTGCTGTGGCCGCGGTTGAAGGGGCTGACGGGGTGGGGCCGCGGCGCGGGAGAAAGGCAGGGAGGGAGAGGGAGGGGGAAGGGAAGGTGTTTGGCCGGGTGAAGAGCGAGCCGTGTGAAGCGAGTGAAGTGGGTGCAGGACGTGGGAGGAGCAAGGGTGAGGAGGTCGCAATGCGGTTACCGGGTGACGATGCTGACTTTGTGCAGGCGTTGAAGCGGTACGAGCAGCGGCAGCTGCAGGTGCTGGATAGCGAGCAGATTGACAAGCTCTGGTACACCGATGGGGTGCACTCTCACTCCCACTCCCACTGGCACAGCCACAGCCACAGCACGCACGCACGCAGGCACGAGGCAAGCACGCAGGCTGTTGTGAACCACTGCAAGGAGGAATCTGTTGAGAATGGTGGTTGGGAACCACAGCACAGCAGCAAGGAGTCTATTCGTAATGGCTGCGAGGAGCCAGAATGGAAGGGCGGGACGGAAGGAGGCGGTTGTAACAAGGGCGTTGGACACAGTAAGAGCTGCCAGGAGGTCTACTATGGGGAGAGGGAGGGAGGAGTTGCGCCAGGGGAGGAGCAAGGATTCCTTATGGGGATTCACAAGCAGCAGCAGCAGCAGCAGCAGCAGCAGCAGCAGCAGGCTGCTCCCCCACAGGTTGCCCCCCTGCACTCGCATGAGGCGACGAGGAACGGCAAGCGAGAGCGAGAGAGGCCTGTGAAGGGGGAAAATTTTTGGAGGGGTGGGTCTGTGAAGGAAGAGAGAGGGATGACTGACCCCACGAAAGCTGCTGCTGGTACCGCAGGCAGTGGTGCTGGAAGGAGAACGAAGGAGAAGGAGCGCGAGATGCTATGGGAGGGTGTGTGCTCGGACGAGGAGTTAGGCGGTTTCAGGAGAACTGCTGCTGGTAACGCTGGTGCAGGTGGTGGTAACAATGGCGGTGGTAACCGCAACGATGGCGCATGCAGCGGGAGGTGGAGCGAGGAGCTGGAGATTGGGGTGGCGGTGCGCGGGCTGGGGTTTCTGGTGGAGCAGTCGCCTGGTACAATGCAGATGATGCAGAGGAAGGGCGCTGGAGGAGCTGGAGAGGACGGGGAAGGAGGAGGAGGAGGAGGAGGAGGAGGAGGAGTTGGTGGTGGGGGTGGAAGAGGAGGGGTGGATGCAGCTTGGGGAGGAGGTAGAGGGGCTTTGTCTGCTGTGAACGAGGCTGGAAGGGTGAGGCAGGGAGTGGGTTCGAGTACAGGTGGGGCGACGAAGGGGGTGTCAGGGCCGCAGCAGTCGCAGACACAAGGCGGCTGGGCGGGTGTGTGGGCCACCGGCGCGTTCTGGTCATCATCATCAGCAGCAGGGGGAACAACAGCAGGAGATGTCACAGGTGGCACAGGTGGCACAGGTACAGTGGGTAAACCACAGGTGGCCACTGCAGCTGCAGGGACTACTGCAGCGGGTGCAGCCGTAAAAGGACCAGTGGGAGCGGTCGGAGAGGCAAACTGGAGCCAAGGCGAGACGAGGCCCAGTGCAGGATCAGCAGCAACAGGAGGAGCAGGAGCATCAGCAGCGGGGTCTTGGCTGAGCTTCATAGGCGCAGGGCCCAGGTCAGACCCGGGAGGCAGAGCAGCAGGTGCAGGCAGGGACACGGCTGGAGCTGCAAACACAGCTGCTGGGGGAATGGGTCCTGAGGGGGGGATGCGTGCACGGGTGGGGCGTGGGAGGGGGAGTTCCGTTTCAGGGGCAGGGGGTCATGCAGGGTGTGGCTCACAGGGGGATGCGGGTGGGCATGATGCGCGGTCGGTGCTATCTGCTGCTGCTGCCACTGCTGGATGGGTGGAGCGGAATCTAGCCGCGTTTGGGCTGGCTGGTGCGTTTGGGATGCGAGGTGGGGTTGGTGGGGGCACAGGTGAGAAGGGGACGGGAGGGACGAGTGGTGGAGAGGTGGGTGGAGTGGGTGGTGGTGGAAGTGGGGATGATAGGGTGCTGCTGGCTGAAGCAGCAGAGAGGGATCCGTTGAGTGTGGTGCGGCAGTGGGAGGAGGAACAGGAGGTGGAGGGAGTGAGGGAGAGGCGTGAGTGGGAGAAGCAGGAGGAGCGGCAGCAGGAGCATAAGCAGCAGGAGCAGAGGTGGCGACAGCAGCAGCAGCAAGGGGCGGTGCAGGGATGGCAATCGGGATACGGGCCTGGGGAAGGGAATTACACGGCAGGAACCTTCTTAGACTTGGAGGGCTTGGGCATGGAAGAGGAGGAGGAGGAAGAGGAAGAAGGAGGAGGGATGCTGCTGAGCGCGCGTGTGAAGAAGGGGCGCGGTGCGATGCGTGCATGGGACGGCCCTGGTAGTAGAATCAGGGGCAGTGGCAATGCAGTGGGGGGTGGGATGGGGGAAGTGGGGGGAGTGGGGGGAGTAGGGGAGGAGGCGAGGGGGCAAGGGCTGCGGCCGGCATGGTTGCTGGAGAGTGAGTGGCTACAGCAGCAGCAGCAGCGGAGGGAGGAGGAGCAGGCGCAGCTGGAGATGCAGCAGTACCTGGGCATGGGGCAGGGGGGTGATAGCAGGGGGCAGGCGGGTGGGAGCAGGGGCGAGGAGGGAAGCAAGGAGATGCGTGCGTTTGGAGAGGGCAGACAGATGCACGCACAGGTGGGGTACTTAAGGGAATCTGTTTGGTGAGTGCGTGTGGTGGTAGCGCGAAGGGTGTGCGTGTGGTGGTAGCGCGAAGGGTGTGTGTGTGTGTGTGTGTGTGTGTGTGTGTGTGTGTGTGTGTGTGTGTGTGTGTGCAGCTCAGGTGGGGGACTTTGGGGAATCTGTTGGTTTGAGTGCGTGTGGACTGGCAATGTGAAGGGGGTGTGTGCAGCTAGGGTGGATCTGTGGCCTGCTGTGTGCAGGCATTTATGTTGCACGCTTGCTGCAAGTGTGTGTGGGTGGCTGGCTGGCTGGCTTTAAGGCTGGTTGTCTGGCTGGGTAGGAGGGTGGGAGGAGTGTGCGTGCGTGCGTGCGTGCGTGCGTGCGTGCATGCGCGTGTGTGTGCTGATGTGCTGCAGGTAGGCGGGCAGGAGGGCGGCCACTCCAGCTCGCAATCTTGTTGTCACGTCATGTACTTATCTCCATGCATCCATGCATCCATGCATCCATGCATCCATCCATCCATCCATCCATCCATCCATCCATCCATCCATCCATCCATCCATCCATCCATCCATCCATCCATCCATCCATCCATCCATCCATCCATCCATCCATCCATCCATCCATCCATCCATCCATCCATCCATCCATCCATCCATCCATCCATCCATCCATCCATCCATCCATCCGTGCCTCCGTTCCATGCATGCATGCTTCCATGCATGTGCAGATCGTGGGGGCGTTCTCAGCGGAGGCAAGGGGCGAGGCCATAGTGGGTTACTCCATTGCAGTCACGGGCCTCGATGGCTCCGCTTGGATCGTCCGCCGCAGGTGCATGCACTCCTGCTTCCTTGAGCCCATGTGCTCGCCCTTGTGTGTCATGGTGCCCCTGTGCTCTCTCTGTGTCCCTTTCTGTGTTCCGTTTTCCACCATCTTTGGCACTGTCTCCTCTGCGTGCGACATCAAGTGGTATTTTTGAGTCGACTCAAAAATCGACTTATCAAGTGGTATCAACACGTTAGTAGCTCATACCCTGGTATCCAACTAGCCCAACATACCCTTCCATCCACTCCAAAGCCCCCTCCCCTCCCCTTCCTCTTCTCTCGTTCCCTTTCCCTTTCCCCGCCCGCTTCTCCCCTTCCACTTCACCCCTCTTCGTCAACCCCCAGGTATCGCAACTTCTGGCAGCTCCACCAGCAGCTGAAGCGGCGCAGCCCCACAGCAGGCAGCCTGCAGCTGCCAACGACTCACTCCGGCATACCATCTCATTCATCGCCCCCCCCCCCCCCTCCTCGTCTCCCCTCCCCCCCCCCCCCCCCCCCCCTCTCCCCACAACACCCACCCCATACCCCCCCAGGTATCGCAACTTCTGGCAGCTGCACCAGCAGCTGAAGCGGCGCAGCCCGTCAGCAAGCAGCCTGCAGCTGCCGCCCAAACGGTTCTTCCACGGCGGGCGCGACGAGGAGCTCATTCGCGACCGCCTGCTGCAGCTGCACGCTTATGTCAAGGTGGGTGGACGCTTACCCTCACCCACATGTGCGGGTGTGCAAATTCCTCTTCCGCCTCAACCCATCTCGTCCTCACTACCCTCTTGTTGGTTCCCAGGTTTTTAACCCCCCACCGCCCTCCCATGCGACGCATCAAAACTGCATGCTAGTATTTCGATCTCCCCCTTTCCTGATGCTCTGCCACCCAGTCACCTTGCCAGGAAATCAAAGTTATGTGAGTGAAGTTCTCCTCCCCTTACCCCCCTCCTCCCTCTCCCTTGTTGCACTTCCATCCACCCACCCGTCCCCCCCGCCCTGGCAGGGCATCATGGCCCGCGAGGAGCTGGCCACATCACCAGAGGTTATCGACTTCCTCTCCCCTGACTCCAAGGTGGGGTGCGGGGGGGTGTGGTTTGGTGTGGTGGGGTGCGGTGGTGTGGTGGGGTGTTGTGGTGGGTTGTGGTAGTGCGGTGTGGCGGGGTGTGGTGTCTTGTGCTGCAGTGCTGTGGCACCGTACCTCCTTGCTGCTATGCCGTTCCCACCACACTTGCTTTCCCACCCTTTCTCTTCACCTGTCTCTCCCTCCATACTCCCTCAACCTTCTCTCGATCCCTATCTCCATCCCATCTTTCCACCCATTGCTTAACACCATCTCTACCTCTCATAGCTCTCCCCCATCGATCTCTCTCGCCCATTTCTCTCCCTCACCTCTCTCCGCAATATCTCCCCCCTTCCCTTCCCCCCATCGCTCTCCCCCATCTCTCTCTCCCACCCATGTCTCTCGCCCATCTCTCTCCCCTGTCTTTCTCCCCCATCTCTCTTCCCCATCTCTCTCCCCTGTCTTTCTCCCCCATCTCTCTCCAGTGATCTCTCCCCCCAACTCCCCCCTGTCCGCTTTTCCCCCACTGCTTCTCGTCCCTCGCTCTCCTGTCTATTCGTCTCCGAACCCCTTGAATGGTCCCCACTCTGCCCATGCTCCCTCAGGCCTTTGACTCCAACCTCACCATGTCAAAGGCCATCTCCTTCGCCTGTGAGGGTGTGTCTAAGGCGCATTAAAAAAAAAAAAAAAAAAAAAAAGGCTCTAATCCCCCCCATCCCCCCTGTGCTCCCTCAGGCTTTTGAATCCCACATCACCGTGTCAAAGGCCATCTCCTTTGCCTGTGAGCATTCCTCCCCCGCTGCTGCATGATCTGATTCCTTTTGCCTCCTTCCCCCTCCTTTTGTCGATGTTGCCCTCCCTATTACGCTCTTTTGGTGCACCTTACCATCTCCCTTCCGTTTTCTCCACTCGCTTCCCTCCCTCCTCTCAACCCCTCTCCACCATCCCTCCACCACCACCCCCCTCCCCCCCCTTCCCCACCGCTCCTCCTTTCTCCCGCCCTGCTCTCCTTTCCCGTTCCCCCACCCTGCCCTCCTCACTGCTTCTTCTATTCCTTCTTGTGAGCGTCTAGAAGGTGACAGCACATGGGAAACAATGTCTGAGACATCTTAAATTTTCCCTCCCATTCTCTTGCCTTGTTCTCCTCACTCACTTTTTCCCCCCTTTCCTCCTTGTAGTGAGTGTGGACGAGGTGACAGACGATGTGCAGTGGCAGCGCGTTAAAAGCACGTCCCAGCTGCAGCTGCTCTCCACCATTGCTACTAACGGGGATGACACTAGCTCTGTTGCCACTTCCCCTCACTACAGTCACCGCCCCTCCCGACCAACCAGCAGCCGCCACGTGGGGGAGGTGGGTGAGGAGGAGGCGGCTAGAAGAGCAGCGATTGGACGACAGAGACGAGAATTTGGCAGTGATGGTAGTGGGAGGAGTGGGGAAGGAGGTGGTGGTGGGTGTATAGTGGGGCTGCACGGTCGAGAGGAGTTGAGGATGGTGAAAGGGAAGGGCCGTCCTTCTACGGTTTGGGAGGGAGTAGGGGAGTGGTCAGAGGGGATTCGAGAAGAAGGGTGCGAGACGGGGGATGAGGAGGAGGGCGATGGTGGGGTATCGGGAGAGGAGAGAGGAGATGCTTGGGCTGGGCGGGAGATTCGTAGTGAGGGAGGGAGGAGAGAGGCTGACGGGAGGTTGAAGAGGCGTGTGGGGCCAAGGGGTGGGAGCACGATCGGTGGGAGTCTGGTGGATGGAGGGATGAGGGGTGGAGGTGAAGGGATGGGCGGGGAGAGGGATGCGGATGGGGAGGACGATGTGTTGAGCTATGGATCGAGACAGAGCCTTGGCGGCCTGGAGTATGACCTTCAGCGGGCGCAGGGGGCAGGGGACGAGGAAGGAGGGGTGAAGCAGCAGAAGGTGCAGCAGCATGGAAGCTCGTGTGAGACCTCTGAGGATGACCTGTGTCAACAGGGTGCTGCCCGTGTGCCTGGGGATGGGCATGGGGATGGTATCAGAGGTGGGCGTGGCGAGTCAGGTTTTGTTGGGAGAGGTGAAGCTCCGGCAGGGCTGTTTGAAGCAGATGGTGATGGTGAGGATGATGGTGATGGTGATGAGGAGGGTGAGGGTGGGGTGGTGGTGGGAGCAGTCCCTCGACGTGGCTTGCATGTGCCAGCAGAGCAAGGAGGAGCCGTGGATCGAGGAACCGAGGAAAGGGATGGTTCTGTCAGAAGGCACGATGGGGGGAGTGCACTGGATGCAACCGTTCCTGCTGATGTAAGTCACAGTTCATTGGCAGAATCAGGCCAGCGTGTGAACTGCTACGTGCATGACTTATTGTTTGTTTCCGCTTTAGCTGCTCGTCTTCTCTGCACCTTCCATCCATCATGTGAGTTTCATTCTCTCTCCCTCCCTACCCATGCATCTTGGACATGCCTGGCTGGGGGGATGCCATGCCATGCCATTCCATGCCTTGCCATGCAATGCCATGCCATGCCATGCCTTGCCTTGCCATTCCATGCTGTGCCGTGCTGCAGTGGACTGCTGCGAAGCTGAGTGCACCACTCCTGCGCCTGGTGGAAGTGCTGCTGCACCTCGACGACCACGGCTGGATTAGGTCAGTATCTGACGGCATTCCAAATGAAAAGGCTGATTGATGCCGTGGTATAGCTCTGGAACAGGTTGGTGAAGGTGCCTAGGCAGGATCGGACGAGCTTGACAAGATCCTAGTGTTGCTGTTTCAGGCCAAATTCTCCTCACCAAGTTACACGCTCCATCTCTCCCTGCTCTACACCCCCTTCGTCCTTGACAGGCGGCAGGTGGTGTGGGTGGCGAGGCAGGTGTTGGAGCTGAGCATGGGGGATGCCATTGATGACTTCCTGCTCTCGCAGATCCAGAAACTCCGCACTGAATCCACCGTTGCCACCATCATTCGCTCCCTGCACCAGGTCTGGAGCTGTTCACTGTGCACCCTCATTATCGCTCCCATGACTTCCTCTTCTGTCAACCCCACCTCACCCCCCTGCTCCCCTTTCCCCCTCAACCCCCAACACTGTCAACCTCACTTATGCCTCCTAGCCTTCTTTGTTTTTGTAGGTTGTATTAGCTTTTCTTGCATGCCATCTCTGATTTTTTTTTTTAATATTTTCGACATTGAACGCCCTCATTTATTCACGTCAGAGGTTGTGGCCGGATGGTATATTCTACTCGCGCCACCCAAATTATCGGGCCTCAGTGGCAGCTTCGAGCTCCCGGACAGGCTCGTCTGCTCCTGCTGTCTCTCGTCCCGATCCTCTTGGGCTCAACGTACCTCCTGAGTCATTCCAGCAGCGACTGGAGGCTGCTGATAAGGCTGCCAGAGTTCATCAGCTTCTGCTTGGTAAGTCGTTCTAACAGGGATGAGCTGCCTTTTGGTTTATAATATGTGAATTTGCACTGATTGATTCCTCTCTTGTGTCTTTTATGCAGAAATGGCACCTGCTTCAATTGTTCCACTGATTGGTCTGCGGCATTATCAGCGATCAGTTTCAGACCTCTTCAGCTTTGTACAGGTGGGCCATCGCTGTGTGGTAGTTTTCCTAACACTGTTTCGCTTCCCTCTTTGCCTTGGACGTCCCTATTGTGTGACCTTGCTCACTCCACCACACATTTTTGTTCGGAGATTGCAGTCACAGGTGTGTGTAAAGCAGCTGGCGCATGCACTAATGGAGGTGGTCATTCTAGCCCTGTTTCCAGAGCTGCACGTTGTGGTTGCTGAGATTCGCCATGGCCTTATTTAAGCCACATTGTTCAAGGCATACACGCATAATCTTATCTGTTTGCTTCATCCATTATAACTTCATGCACACGTGCACATAAACTAGATTGCTCGTACTTACTTTCAGAATTTCTGTGAATGGCATCGGGATACGATAGATGCATTGGGGCTATTCTTCTGCACCAAAGCCACGTGTTTGGAGAGCCCTTCCCTGTGCCATTTGCCATCTGTCTTGGCTAGTCTTCGGAGATCTTGGATTGACCTGAACGAATGTTCTTCTCTTGTCTTCGTGTTTACAATCATAGTTGTCTGCCCACTCCTGTCTGCGTTTTGAACCAATGTATGAGGAGGCTTTCCTTGTGTCCTGCACCAAGAAATTCTCAGAGCGGCCAGAGCCTTTCCTTCTGCCTTGTGCTGTGCCAAAATCAGAACGACCAGAACGATCCCTGAATGAGAGCCCGAGTCTTGGATGAGAGTCAGGCTTCTTCCTGTCATCTGTGTTGACGTTCTCATACCTGCAACATTGACAACGATGACCAATTAGCTATGCGTACTTTTATCAACCTAAATGGGTTCTACGCAACCAGGACTGACCTGCTTTTTTGCAACGGGTCGTGCAGTGAGGCCTTGGATGTCAGGACCTTGCTTATCTCCTTAGCTCTCTGCATCGCCAAAACAGCTGCCGCTGAGGCGGGACATGCACCCGCAGACTTTCGAGAGGCATTCTGTTGCATAGCAAGCGCTTCCTGGAACTGTAACATCGGCTTTGCAACAATCTCTTGCAACGCGGCGGTCGCCCTCCCTTCATGTCCGGGCAGGAAATTGGAAATTGCGTTGGCAGAGGCTGTCAAAGCTGTCTTGATCCTTTCTTGAGCGGTTTTCGCCAGCTCAACCTTCAACTTCACATCTGCAATCTCCATGTTGTTCATGTCCAAGGCGACCTTCGCTTCTTCCGGGGTCGAATAACGAATATGAGCAACGGACCTGTCGTTGTTGAGATAGTCACATCTTGTAACCGTTCCGCAGAAGGAGAATAATTGAAGAAGCTGTTCACGTGTAATCGCACGGGTCAGGCTTGTGACGTGTAGCGTGAGATTAAGCTCGCGGTCGTCCATGCCACCTGAAACAATGCGTGAGGTTGCGTTAGGATTTGTTTTGCCAAAGAATGAGTTTCATCCACGTTCGTCTATCCACTTACGGAAGTGGCTAAGCTCAACCTCGCAGGCACGAGCTTCATCAGTTGCTGCATTCTCCGGGACTTTCAGGTTGGCGTTAGCGGCCGCTTTGGAGACCTTTCGCAGTGCTACTATAGCCTGTGCTGCTGCCATTGCCGCGGCGGACGGATTAAGCGGAGCCGCGTTCGCCATGATGTCTCCAGTAGGATAAACCTGAAGCTGTCGCGTGACCCGAGAAGACTATGAAAAAAAAGGATGTACAATTGCATGCCATGATTCGAAAGGTGAATTTGAATGCCACTGGACCTTCATTCGAAAGGCCCATTTCGTGGGTGAAGGATGATCCATGCCGAATCGCGAAGCCTTGGGATTTGAGCTAACTTCAATGTCTCCCTTGGTACCCCCTTGAAGTCGGCTGAAGGACACCTAGCCTCTGATGTGGGTGGGATGACATAGGGTGTGTCGTCTACACTGTACGCAGAAACCTACTGTAGTACCGTACATAAGGTGTGGCTTCTAACACTTTTGTTTCACAGCAATTTGCAGGTACAATCAACCTGACAATTTTGTATGATGTGATTACCGAATGGGCATCAACACCACTCAGGCTATTTGTTGATGCTTAACTACAACTTGAGCAACATGATTCAACAAACAAATCAGAGTGGCCGGCGGCTTCTTTGTACATCACACTACAAGACATGACTTGGGTACACCAAAATACTTTTCCAACTCATCCCGGGACTGCTTGTAATTGAAGACTCTACGCCATCGGTCATTGTGGAGCTTGTAGTGCAGCACCTGCAAGCATGCACAGCCAGGAAAAAACACCACTTACATGTACCAGTATGAACTCAGACACAAGACGACACAAAACAACGCAGGCACAGCTTCGGTCTAAGGTGCAATACACACCTCAATGAGTGTATCAATGGCGTCGTCGTCTTTCAGCAAGCTGATTCCAAAAGCCCATGCCTCGTTGTGTCCATACTCGTCCTGCTGCCTCTTGGCCTCCTGTGCGATCACCGAGTGGTACGACAACCGCTGCCACACCTTCTGCACTGTACCTTGCAGCGCACTCCCATGCTCCGCAGTGATAGCCTGTTGGCACAAGCATGGGGCACATGATCATAAAGGAGAAGACTAAGACCCGCTGACAGCATGATTGCAGAACACTGTCATACACATTCACAATTTGGAAAAAAAGGCAGGGGTATGGGTAATGAGGGGAGAGAGGGAGAGGGGAGGAGGGATACAAGGCAAGAGCCAACCAACTGGGAATGGGATGGTCCAAACGGACAATCGGCGGCACCTTGAGCTTTGTGAGCATGTTGGGAATGTCCCTTTCCTCTATGCGCACTGAGAATGAAGCATATTCCAAGGCGTTCTCAAATGGCAGGTGGATGCCGTCCTGTTGTACACACGCAGCATGCATGCACGCGCACCAGTCACCATTCCCCCAACCCATGAACGCCAATCACCATCCCCACTCATGAACACACATTCAATAGGCATACGCACAATCACAGGAGTCACTGAAAGAATAGCTTTATTCAAAGGGAGACGGGCGGCACCTGATCAATAAAGAAAGGGCAGAAAGAGGGTAAGGGGGTAGAGGAGGGATGATGACAGGGATGCACCTGAATGATGACTGGGATGCACCTGAATGATGACTGGGATGCACCTGAATGATGACTGGGATGCACCTGAATGATGACTGGGATGCACCTGAATGATGACAGGGATGCACCTGAATGATGACAGGGATGCACCTGAATGATGACTGGGATGCACCTGAATGATGACAGGGATGCACCTGATGACTGGGATGCACCTGAATGATGACTGGGATGCACCTGAATGATGACAGGGATGCACCTGAATGATGACAGGGATGCACCTGAATGATGACAGGGATGCACCTGAATGATGACAGGGATGCACCTGAATGATGACTGGGATGCACCTGAATGATGACTGGGATGCACCTGAATGATGACTGGGATGCACCTGAATGATGACAGGGATGCACCTGAATGATGACAGGGATGCACCTGAATGATGACTGGGATGCACCTGAATGATGACAGGGATGCACCTGAATGATGACAGGGATGCACCTGAATGATGACTGGGATGCACCTGAATGATGACAGGGATGCAGCCATGCTTCATCGCCTCTTCCATGTCAGCATTGAAGCCATTGCTGGGGAAGACTCCGCAGAACCGGGCGTTGCCCAGCTGAGCGCTGTGCCCCTTGCCCCTCTCATTCGTCACAATCACCCCCTCCTCCTGCTGCGACCCCAGCTGCCCCTTGTTATTTGGCACCGAGGCGAATTCTCGAGCCACGGCCTGCCGAATGCCGAAGCTGAACCTGCACACTCGGCAGGCAGGAAAAGAAGGCAAGAAATTCGAGAAAAAAAAAAAAGAGTTAGGTCCAGAAAAAGAAGCAAGTGAAAGGACACTTCTGTGCTCCGGTCTTGGCCATTTGATATTTAATCTTGACGGATTCAATGGGTCAGTTGATTGCATGTGCATGCAGTGGTTATACCTGGTATCAGGAGAGCCCCCCTTGTACTCAGATCCTAAGTCACCAGCGAAATAGAAGAGGTGCTCCCTCTCCTCAAATGACCTGCTCTTCGCAAAAAAAGGGGAGCGAGTGGAGAGAATCAGATCGAGAGGAAGAGCGTAATAGACGTGGGGTTGACAATGTCGCAACATGGGTTGGAACGGGAGAATTCCGAAGAAAAAGCAGCATCTGCTGCGCACAGGTTCAGAGGCCTACCTGAGCCAGTACTGCTCATGCAGGTGCTTCACATTGGGCGGCAGCCAGGCTGGCAGCACAATATCCTTGGCAGCGGAGTAGCACAGGTGGCCGCCCCTCAGCGTCAGGGGTATGTCGTCCCACCGCTGCTGCGGTGCCGCCTTGACTGAGTGGGAGTGAGCTGCCATGCTGTTGCCCCAGCTCGTGAGCATGCTGCCGTGCCAGATGGCTTGAGGGGCCAAACAAGCCCCTTCATCTGTGCCCATGGGCTGGAGGGGAGAAGGGGGGGAGAGAGGAAGAGGGGCAAAAGGGCGGATACAACAATATCGATGCAATTCGCCACTGGATTGGGGGGAGGGTTGAGCATTGGCATAAACAGCATGAAATGCACAGCACAAGGCATCTGACAGTTACCATGCCCATGAGCTCTTGCTTGCAAGGGAGCAGCAGGCAGGGCAGAGCGGCGTACCCAGAGGTGGTCGCGGCCGCGACTTCTGTTCCAGTGGGGGTAGGCATGCACGATGTGGCGGTGCACTGCTGAGTACATCTCTGCCACGTGCCACGCCCAGCTGCCCTGCACGTGCGGCTGGCAGGGGGAGAGAGGAGAGGGTGTGGGGAGAGAGGAGAGGGTGTGGGGAAGACGTGAGAAGACGGTGGCTTCGTGTTATGGTTCCAGTGGGTGTGTGTGGGGGTAGGCATGCACGATGTGGCGGTGCAATGCAGTGTACATCTCTGCCTCATGCCACGCCCAGCTGCCCTGCACGTGCGGCTGGTAAGGGTTGCAGTGCAGAGGAGGGAAGGGTGGGGGCAGATGTGCGGAGAGGGAAGTGTGTGAATGGTGAGCTGAGGTCATGTGAGGCGTACTGAGCCACACCACAAAGAGGATTCGTCATGGTACGATACGTGTCTAGCCTCGTCTCAAAGGGCTTGTGTGAGAAAGCCCAACCAGGAGCCCGATGCCGGAACGGAAGCATCTTGTCAGAGGGGAACAGGTGGGCTGCAGAGGCCTTTTCTATCAACTCAGAAGGAGCGTGTGCTTTAGGACAACGAGACGAACCCCATGGTTCAGGTAGAGAAAGAGGCCTGGTGGCGTGACTGCTTTAGCGTTTAGAGCGATTCTTCATAACAGATACACGACTTGCGCAAACTAGTTTTGGTTCGTGCAGAGTGAACCTTCATCATTCATTACAGGTACGGTGAAGGTTCACAATGTGCCATACCAGGAGCTGGATGCCGGAAGCATCTCCCCCGTTGGTGAGGCGCAGCCAGAAGCAGGAGGCGTAGACGGGCACAAAGAAGAAATCCGCCTCCTCCGCGTTGGTCGTGCGGTGCTTGCTTGCCAGCAACGCCTCGTGCAGGGCGATCTGGGGGAGGGAGGAAGGGAATCAAGGAAGGGGCATGGGACTTACGGGATGGGATCGGATCCAGGGATAGATGGTGACTCAAAACAAAGACGGTGGATGTGAGGTGCTTTTAGTTGCAAGGCAAAGACAAAAGGGACCTGACTCACGAAATAGCTTACTTCCATGGCAGCTCTTCCATGCCATGGGTGTAATCACCTTACTAACCCCTAAACCATGGCCCATGGGTGTAATGACCCTACTAACCGCCATGCCATGGGTGTAATGACGTACCTCCATGCCGTGGATATGGTCGGGCAGGAAGGCGGTGCGGTTGAGGCGGTCATACAGCCGAGGCACGCACTCCTTCTTGCCGCGCCGGCCCTGCAGCAAGTTGCTGTTGAACTGCGGCGGTAGATCGTAGATGTAGATCAACGGCCGCCGCTTCACCACCTCGTTCCGCCCCCCTGCTCCAACTGCTCCCCCTGCTGCCCCCCCTGCCCCCCCTGCACCTGCCCGATCACCAGCAGCGTTTCTCCCACCATCAGCAGCACCCTCACCACCATATCCCCCTCCCTCCGCATCTTCTTCTGTCTCCCCCTCTCCCTCCCCGTCCTCCTCGTCCTGTCTCCCCCTAAGCCATCGGCGCTCATGAGAGTCATGCGGGCCACGGTCAGCAACAGGCACATCCCACTCCACAAAATCGCCCGTGCCACCACCACCCAAGGCACCTTGCCTATCCGTTTGCCACCCCAGGGAATTTCCTCCTTCGTCTAGCCCAAGAAGTCTCCTCCTCCTCCTCCTGCGCCTCCTCCAACCCAGCTCCTCATCTCCCTCTCCCCCTCTCTCCCCTCCCCTTGCCCCCTTCCCTCCATATGCTCTTCCACCCCCTCCTTCCTCCTCCCCACCCTCCTCTTCTCCCTCCTCCCCTCCCATCTCTGCCTCTAAGGCCGCCTCCTCTTCCTCCTCCGTTGGACCATGATTCTTCCCTCCCCCGCCCAAACCCCCTCCTCCCTTTCTTGCTTGAGGTTGTGCAGCCAGGCCAGGCTCGGTGGAGGTCCGGGAGCCGGAGCCGCTGCCGAACCTCTTGGCCTGGTCGAAGGGCTGCAGCCAGGCCGGGAGCTGAGGGTCGGCGAAAGTGGCTTGGGAGGGCACGCTGCAATCAACGCTGAACCAGCCCTCGTTGCACTGTGTGCATGGGGGGAGGGGTGAAAGGGAGAGGTGAAGAGCGAGAAGGGAAGGGAAGGGAAGGGAAGGGAAAAGGGGGTTGGAGGACGGGGATGCAGAAGGTAGCGGTTTTCAGGTCAACTGGCGATTGATATAACACTACACGGCATTGCATTGCATTGCATTGCATTGCAGTGCAGTGCATGGCACCAACCCCACGCACCTGGCAGTGCCCTCACGCACCTGGCAGTGGCCTCGTATGCACGTGCCGTGCCCCGAGCACTGGTTGACACAGAAGGCCGCCACAGGCACGTGACAGAATGCCCCCACCGCCCCGTCATAGTCACACGTGCACCGCGCCCGCGGCTCCGCCCCGCCCATCGCCATGCTGCCGCCCATGCCCACCCCCACTGCTTCAGGACGGGTGTTGCACCAGCCGGGGTAGTGCGTGGTGTTGGCGTACAGGGCCTCCGTGTCCTTTCGCGTTCTGTCCACCGCTGCTGCTCTGAGGAAGGGAAGAGGGGGGGAGAGGGGAGGAGATGGAGGGAGGGGGAACACGTGTGTTGCACCAGCTGCAGCCGGGGTAGTGCGTGGTGTTGGCATACAGGGCCTCCGTGTCCTTTCTCGTTCTGTCCACCGCTGCTGTCCTGAAGGGGAGTAAGAAGGGAGAGAAGGGGAAAGAGGCTCGGAGGGGTGAAGGAAATTGAAGGGAGAGTGGAAGTGGGGCTGTGAATACGCGTGTTGCACCAGCTGGGGAAGTGCATGACAGAGAGGGGTATTAGGACGTCGAGGGGCCACGGTGTGGTGTTCTGCTCACAGGTGATGCACTCACAGTGTGGATTGCATTAGCCAAGCAAGGCACAACAGCAAGTGGCTCACAAGTCATGCGCAAAGCCGCAGGGGTCGGGGACGGGACGGAGGGGGAAGAGGGAGGCAGCACCGCAGAAGCAAAGGCCTGAGTGCAGGTCGCACTCCCCCGCACACGCCCACGCACTCCCGCCCACCACTCCCCCCGTCCACTCACAAGTCATGGGCAAAGCCGCAGGGGTCAGGGACGGGGCGGAGGGGGAAGAGCGAGGCAGCGCCACAGAAGCACAAGCCCGAGTGCAGGTCGCACTCCCCCGCACACGCCCACGCACTCCCGCCCACCACTCCCGCAGAAGACGTGGGTGGGGAGGAGCAGGGATGCGCGTCCATGTGAGAACAGTCCGCCCCTGTCAGTTGGGCGGGTGGGCGGTGCACGGGTGGGTGATGCAAGAGATGAGTCTCTATTTCGCGGCGTCTCAAGAAAGAGTGCAACCATGTGGGAACAGTCCATTCTTGCCACGCAGGCAGGCTATTGGGAAGTCAGACCGCGGTGACAGGAGAAAACAGAAGCAGCTTCGCAACAGTATAATAATATCATTATTACTATTATTAATACTATTACTTCTAGTAATAACACTAGTACTATACTGTTGACAACAACAATAACTCCCACCTGTGTATCCAATGCGGCAGCGGCAGCGGCCAGTGTCGTAGTGACACGTGCCCACCCCATTGCAGTCCTGCATGCACTTGTTGCCGTACACCTCCTGCATGCCATGCCATGCCATGCACCCCATGCATCCCATGCGTCCCAAGCACGCATGCACCCAATGTACTCCATGCATCATGCATGCATGCAAACGTAGACGGATGCATGAACGCACGTGGGGTGAGGTAACCATGCATTTCATGTCATGTACACATGGAAAGGCGTTTACCATTGGCGGTTATACAACCAACCTCGAGCACCTTCACCCAATCCCATTCTTCCCCTTGCTTCCCTCCCCTCGAAGCCCTCCTCCCGCACCCTCCCCTTCCCCCAGTCCCACCTCCCTCCTTATTCCCCCCCGCACCCACCTCCACGGTCTTGATCACCCCCGACTCCCCATTGCAGCTGCTCAGCCAATCACCAACGTCGAATCTCCACGGCGCGCCTCGCCACGTCACCACCTCGTCATCCAGTCGGCTCCTCTTCTTCTTGGCATCCTCCCCCACCACCTCCCCCTCCCGCCCCACCCCCGCGGAGTCCCTATAATCCTCCACTTCCGCCGCCTCTTCACCCAAATGTCCCCCGCCGCCCGCGCCTGCCCCCGCGCCCGCTTTCCCCCATCTTCCCCCTCCCCGCGCAGGCTTAGCGTCCGGATACAGCCCCTCTTGCGGGTCTTCCCCCGGTTTTCCGCCACCCCAGTTTCCGCCAGCGCCGGTTCCCCAATCACCTCCACCCGCTCCCCGTCCGCCTGACGGTAACGTAGACGGATCTAGAGTGGACGCGTCTACGCCTTTAAACGAGTCGACTGGTAACGGATGGTAACCTCTAGGTTCTCGCGATGAGCCGGTTCCTGTGCCGTCCAGATCAGACGGATAAAAAGAATCTGAGCCGTCCGATGGGGGTGTAGTTGTGGTTGGGGACACTGCTGCAGGGGAAGTGAGGAAGATTATAACGAGGATGATTACTGCAACGGCTGCGATTACAGGCCATCTGAGCCAAATCGCATCGGAGCAGAGCGACGCGAGCGACGAAGACGAATACGAGGAGAGGAGGGAAAAGGGGTAAGGGAGCGAACTAGGCCCCAGCGGTCGATCTAAATCCAAATCGAACGGTCGACGTCGCTTCCCTCGCTTCCCTGACGGATCCAAAAGGCTATCCCCATCGTTGTCCTCATCCTCGCTATAATCCTCCTCGCTAATCTCGCTATACTGACCGCGCGATCCCCGCGCGCGCCTGGCGGGGGGGGAAGAGTGCGGCTGTAGCTGCGGAGAGCGCGGAGAGCGCACTGAATAAGGGGAGAAAGCGCCGTCGTGCGACGCGTGGAAGTCGGGAGGCGGGTGCAGCAGCAGCTCCTCCGTTTCGGGAATCGGCAGATGGTCTACTAACGGGGGACCGCTGTGGCCCTCCCTCTCTAGAACCTCCATCGTTCGTCCCGTCTACGAGCGCTAGGATTCAAGATTTTCTGCTGTTTTACTACTGCTACAAGGATATCTCTCGCAGAAAAAGCTGCACTTGCATTATTCGAATTTCCTGCGAAACCAGAAATTGTTACGCCGAGGCGAAACGTGTCAGCTTTGTTTCAAAAGATTCCCCAGGCGAATCGAAACGAGCTGTACGCGAAGCCTTTCGCAATGCCGAACGGAGTCCACGTTGAAAACCAGTCAGGCGAATCAGACCAAGCTGGGGTGGTGTGGTAACTCGATCTATTTGTACTATATTTCTTCGCCTAAGTTCCCTACACTCCCAACCAGCACACCGCGCTCAATCCGGAAACCCGCACGTTTTTTACGATTTCCCAAGCGGCCATTGCTGCTCCCATCCATGGCAGGCAGTGCGACGGGGTTATTCCGAGAGAAGTAGCCTTGCCATCAGCGGTGTTGCTGCGTGGGCCGGTAGTTAATGTCGATTCCGGATGAAAGTTGCTCTACCAAACGCCACACCCCAATCTCGCAGTGATTTAAATTCACCTTGTCGCACTCAATCTTTCTGCAACCTCGCCATCGCATCGCATCCGATCGCACCGCACACAACCTTGTTCTGAAGCGCAAATGCAGAATCAGCCGCCAGGGCCGCTGGGTCCGCCGCAGCAGGCGCAGCCTCCTCCGCCGTTCGCATACGGCCACGCGCAAGGCCCGGGGCGCGGAGCGGGAATGGGGATGGGGGGACCGGGGCCCGGCGGACCAGGAATGGGCGGACCGGGTCCCGGGCCTGGACCGGGGATGGGGCCACCGGGACCGGGGGGCGCGGGGATGGGCGGACCAGGACCCGGGGGACCGGGGATGGGGCATGGTCCCGGACGCGGTATCCCCGGCCCAGGCGGACCGGGGGGACCGGGGGGGCGAGGGGGGCCGGGGCATGGGGGCCCCGGGCAGGGGTTTGGGCGCGGAGGGGGGTTTGAAGGAGGGTTTCATCCTGGCGCAGGGTTTGGGGGGCGCGGGGAGTATGGGGGAAGGGGGGAGTATGGCGGAAGGGGGGAGTATGGTGGCGGACGGGGCGGAGATTTCGGTGGGAGAGGCGGGTTCTTTGATGGTAAGTACGCTGATACTTCTCCCAATTCACCTCTGCCTCCTCCCCGTTCCCCCGAACCCTTGCTTCCGTCCCTTCCTCCCTGCAGCGCGCAGAATGCAGCGACACACAGTGGACTGCAGTGCCACGCCACAGTGGCGCTCTACCTGCCTGCACGCCCTTATGCTTGCAATGCCTTTATCCTCCCCCCTGCCGCTCTGTGCAGCGCGCAGGATGCAGCGCAGAGGCATGCAGTGGCGCACGGTGGACTACAGCGCCACGGTGGTGCTCTACCTGCACGCCCATGCCACCAAACCGTGGCAAGCTGTCCCCCCTCAAACCTTCCCAACCGCTCTCAACAACCCTCAACCACTCTCAACCCACCACCAGCGCGCAGGATGCAGAGGCGGGGCATGCAGCGGCGAACAGTGGACTACAGCGCCACGGTGGCGCTCTACCTGCACGAGCGCGCGCGCCAGTGGGACGCGCGCGACGCCTCTGACCTCCTGCCCGCCTCCTCCGCTTCCCTCAAGGTGGGCTTTAAGTGACGCCTCTGACCTCCTGCCCACCTCCTCCGCCTCACTCAAGGTGGGCTTTAACTCGACTCTCCAACTGCTTAAGGCTGGCTGTATTTGCCTCAACTGTCGCCGCCAAAACGCCCGCGACTACTTGGACCTCCTGCCCACCGCCTCCTCGTCCCTCAATGTGTGCTCTGCTCCGAGTCGACTCCAACCGCTCGAGCTGGTTTGATTTGCCTCAACTGTCACAGCTGAGACGCACGTGACGACTCTGACCCTCTGGGCCTCTGCCCACTGCTTCTGCCTTGGTCAGTGTGGGCTTCGCCCGCACACCACTCCTGTTTCATTCTTCTGGTATTCGCCGCACACCACTCCTGTTTCATTCTTCTGGTATTCGCCGCACACCACTCCCGCTTCTTCCCTCCCCCACCTCCTCAGTCCTTCCCCCTCCCCAATGTCCTCCTTCCCAACCATGCAGCTGCTGCCGTGCATGGCATACGAGGACCGCCCAGCAGCCAGCATCGCGTCTCTTGAGCCTGCTTGTACTACCTCTCACTTCCTCCCCTGCCCCACCTTCCGTTCCGCTGCCCCTTCCCTTACCCCTCCCCCCCATGCAGCTGCTGCCGTGCATGGCATACGAGGACCACCCAGCAGCCAGCATCGCATCTCGCTTTGTGCACGCCTCCACCAACAAGATCCGCTGCCCCATCAACCAAGTCGTGGTACGAAGGGGTGCAGTGTGGTGATAAGGCATGGCATGGAATGGGATGGGATGGAGTGCGGTGGGATGCGGTGGGTTGGGGTGGGGTGGTGGTATGGTAGGCTGCTGCATACTGTTGCCCTGCCGCTGACATCACGTCACAGCACATCTATCAATCTCCTCAAAAACTCCTCATGCCCTTCCAACATTTGAGGCGCCTCAAAAACTCCTCATGCCCTTCCAACATTTGAGGCGCCTCAAAAACTCCTCATGCCCTTCCAACATGGCTCTTCCCCCAGCCCAACCCCTCCCCCTGCTCTCGCCCTCTCCTCCTCCACTCCACTCCACACACCCCTAACTCGTCTTCCTTCCTCTCTCCCAGCGCCCCTCTCCGCGTTGCTTACCTCACCCCACCCCGCCCCATCTCTCCCCACCTCACCTCACCTCACCCCACCCCACCCCACCCCATCCCGCCCCAACCCCCCAACTCCTCGCCAGTGGACGCCCACGGGGCGGCGGCTGCTGACAGGGTCACAAAGCGGCGAGTTCACGCTGTGGAACGGGCTGTCCTTCAACTTCGAAATGCTCATGCAGGTGGGTCCGTGTGGGGGGAGGGGTGGGGGGGGTGGGGGTTGAAGGGGTGCCGTGTGGGTGGGTGGGGCTCTTGATGTTGCTCTTGGGGGCGCTGCGGCGAGTTGACGCTGTGGAACGGGCTGTCCTTCAACTTCGAGATGCTCATGCAGGTGGGGGCCCGGGGGGGAGAGGGTGGAGGGGAAGGGTAGTGATGGGGGTGCTGTTCTTGAGGTTGCTGCTGGGGGGTTGGGGTGCTGCTGCGAGTTCACGCTGTGGAACGGGCTGTCTTTCAACTTTGAGATGCTCATGCAGGTGGGGGGGGAAGAAAATGTTTCGTAAGCCATGGTATTCAGGTGAGGTGAGGTTTGAGTCGACTCAGAAGCCGGCTACCTTGTTACAATGGCTTGCGGCGCGTTCTCTGCCAGAGGTGCGTTATGGTGACAGAGGTGCGTTATGGTGACAGAGGTGCGTTATGGTGACAGAGGTGCGTTATGGTGACAGAGGTGCGTTATGGTGACAGAGGTGCGTTATGGTAACAGAGGTGCGTTATGGTGACAGAGGTGCGTTATGGTAACAGAGGTGCGTTATGGTGACAGAGGTGCGTTATGGTGACAGAGGTGCGTTATGGTGACAGGTGCGTTATGGTAACAGAGGTGCGTTATGGTGACAGAGGTGCGTTATGGTAACAGAGGTGCGTTATGGTAACAGAGGTGTGTTATAGTGACAGAGGTGCGTTATGGTAACAGAGGTGTGTTATGGTAACAGAGGTGCGTTATGGTAACAGAGGTGCGTTATGGTAACAGAGGTGCGTTATGGTAACAGAGGTGCGTTATGGTAACAGAGGTGCGTTATGGTAACAGAGGTGCGTTATGGTAACAGAGGTGCATTATGGTAACAGAGGTGCGTTATGGTAACAGAGGTGCATTCTCTGAGTGCTGTCACGACACGTGCTCCTTACTTTTGTGTTCTGTGCAGGCCCACCAGGTGGCGGTGAGGAGCATGGTGTTTGAGAATTCTCAAAAACCAGCTGTGGAGCGCTGACACGTTCTCCTTGTGAGACGTCACACAAGCACGTTCTCCTTACTCTGTTCCGTGCAGGCCCACCAGGTGGCCGTGAGGAGCATGGTGTGGAGTCACAACGGCAACTGGCTGGTTTCAGGGGACGACTCAGGATGCATCAAGTGAGACTTGTCTCGATAGGCGAACCACCGTGACGTGAAGCTTCTGTCTGTTTTGGAGTTTTCAGACCCCTTGTATTGATTTTCAAGTGCTTTTGATTAAGCTTCAACTGCTTCCTGCTTACCCCATTGACTGCATTGACTGCATTGACTCCATTTGACCCCGTTGATCCCATTGACCCCATTGACCCCATTGACCCCATTGACACCGTTGACTGGCAGGTACTTCCAGACGAATCTGCGCATGATGAAGGAGAATGCCACGGCCCACAAGGAGTCCGTGCAGGGCGTCAGGTATGTGCGTTCTTCCCTTATAGGGCGTCTGGCGTCTGGTACTTTCTTGCCTTCCTTTTACAGCTCCAGGTATTTCGATCGGACCAATCTGCGCATGATGAAAGGAGAATGCCCGCCACCGCGCCGCGCACAAGTTTTGAGGCGCCTCAAAAACCAATCTCCGGAGTCACTTTTGAGAATTCTCAAAAGTTTTGAGGCGCCTCAAAAACCAATCTCCGCATGGTGAAGCGGAATGCCTGCCACCGCGCCGCGCACAAGGAGTCTGTGCAGGGCGTCTGGTACTTTCTTCTCTCCTTTCAGAAAGCCAGTCAGGTATTGTCGTTTCTGTCAAGTGCCACTGCTGTGTCCTGAATGTCTTTTTTGGTTGTCCTAGTTAGTCAGCTTATCTCTGCCCCCTCGCTCTCTACTCTCTTCCCTGCCACCTCACCTACCCCAGCTTTTCAAGCTCAGACCTCAAGTTCTGCTCATGCTCTGACGACACGGCGGTGAAGGTGTGGGACTTCATCCACCCATGTCTGCCACTCTTTCACCCACCTGTCCCCCTCTTTGCCTCCCTTCCTGCCACCCACCCCACCTGATCCAGCTTTTCAAGCTCCGATCTCAAGTTCTGCTCATGCTCTGACGACACGGTGGTCAAGGTGTGGGACTTTGCGCGC